GTGTGAGAATAAAGGCAACTCACCGGTTCGTTTACCACAAAATCTCACATTCACTAGAATGGGGAATCTGGGAGGGGAACTGACAAGGTCCTCCTCCTCCTCCTCCTCCTACAAAAATATTATTTCATAGAAAAGCGGACTGTGGAGAGGACTCAACCAGTCATTCACCAACCATTCCTACAACTCTTCAAAGTGAACATATTTTGGTCTGCAGTGAACAAGGAAAAACCTTCCAAGTAGTCAATGTCCAGACAAAAAGGCCTACTTGCTGACATGTGCTTTGTTGCCGAGGTCCATTAGCAAAAAATGCACCTCAAGTGTCCACTTTCCTTTTCACATGGTCAAAAGGGGTTTGGTGAAAAGCCCAGCTTAATACTTTGTTAATTTGAAGGCCTGTATGAATGGCAGCCAATTTGGCATTTTATCTTGTTCTTCTTTGCCCATGCTGGCCTTTGGGCTAAGCCACAACTCAACCTTCTTCCATTCCCCTCAAATGCAGGTATTAAGGCCCTCTTTATAGTTTCTACCGAATGGGAAGTCTTGGGGCATCAGGCTATGCGTGACCGTCTTGGCTACGAAGCGTTCGACATGGGTCGAGAACACAAGTAAATTAACCATCTCTGTTGCCTTTTATTCCATTATCATATATAATTTGATCAAGAAAGTGTCGTCACCTTGCAGGTTATACGAAGTGGCCTCTTATTTTTTGCCAAAAAAATTTGGCAATGTTTGGCACACTTTAAGCCTTTACGCGAAGCATTAATTGCAACTTTTACGGGTCCATCACCATAGACCAATAACAAAAAATGTCCAGAAATTTAAACAACTGACATTTTTGACTTATAAGAAGCGCCTCAAGACTTCGGTAAAGAAAGGGGGAGAGTACGTCTCAATAGTATTTTTTTTCAAAGGACCAACAGCTAGGCAAACATTTTAACCCAAATTATCGGTTATAGAAGACAAGCGTTCTAAGCATATGCTGAAGGGCCTGCGCCAAATGAAAAAGTGTAAACCCCATCCCTTCACTTTCCATCTGTATGAATCATCTTAAAGTACTACGATGCGTCCTTTCTTAGACAGTTTCTTTAGAGTGAGGGCCGTAAAAAGTAGTCACTCAATTGCGATTAACGCGCCTAACGATAGGCATGATGCAATACTTGATTCATTCGACTAATTTTATGATTGCTGTTCATCTTACTTTGAGTAGTTATCTTGGGCCTTCGAGTTAAGCCAAAACCTCGCATCTCCCCCTTCTCTCTGATTACAAGGTTTTAGCCATGCTCATTACCTTCTTTGTTGCCACAGTACTTCCCATTAGGTAGGGCTTTAGTTTGACCAGCAGGGTGTCTCACATACAGAAACATAGGAGCCGCTAAAGGGCCTGCCGCCGATATCGGCAGCCGATTAAACGAAGTTTAACAGTAGTACTCGATAAAGCATATCAATTTTAGCGCGTTGATCCTGGCACACATTTCGAATAACGTGGGGATGAGAACAGATGCTGGTGACCTGTTATAGACTGTACGTGTGAGGAGCAAACGTCCACTAGAAAACAATGTTTTTAGCTAATATTATTTGAATCCGACAAACTTAGTATGGTCGTGTTTATTAAACGGACGATGAATAATTACACTTTGAGCCCATTTATTTTTTTGGCTTGTATATTGCCTTTAAAAGCGCAACTCATAAATATTTGTCAACACAGCCACTTTGTTTTAGTCAACAAGCACTTTCGTTATTCACTTGTTTTGCGAAGGCCTTCGTGATGGGTGGCTCGAAGAAGGTCGATCAGCTTGGGTTCTTTGAAAACTTCTGTCTCAGCGGTGCTGCGGCTGTTATTGCTAAAACAGCGGCTGCCCCGATTGAGCGAGTTAAGCTGCTAGTTCAGAATCAGGGTGAGATGCTCAAGCTGGGCACGCTGGATAGGCCATACAATGGTGTCATTGACTGTACCATTCGCACTTTCAAGTCTGAGGGTACGCTGTGCCAAGTTCTTACCCATATTTGCAGGTCTTTTGCCCTTCTGGAGAGGCAATTTGCCGAACTGTCTGCGTTATTTCCCCACCCAAGCCCTTAATTTCGCCTTCAAGGATAAGGTTAAGGCGGCGATAAAGCCTCAGAAGAGTGATCCCTATGCTGTTGCATTTACAAAGAATGTTGTCAGTGGTGGCATCGCCGGTGCTCTTTCACTCGTCTTTGTATACTCATTGGATTATTGTCGAACTCGTCTCGCCAGCGACACAAAGTCAGCGAAGAAGGGTGCAGCGCGTCAATATGATGGTATGATCGATGTCTATAAGTGAGTTCCTTTTGTTCTTTTTATTCCTTTAACTGCTTAGGAAAACATGGAAAACGGATGGTATTGTTGGTCTCTATCGTGGTTTTGTGATCTCATGCATCGGTATTATGGTGTACCGCGGTTTCTACTTCGGTCTGTACGATACCATCAAGCCCATTTTTCTCGGTGAAGATGCTGGTGTCACTGTTAGCTTTATTTTGGGTTACGGTGTCACCGTGTCAGCTGGACTCCTTTCCTATCCGATTGATACTATTCGTCGGCGCATGATGATGACCTCTGGTGAGATCCCTTCATTGAATTAATTTTTCTTAGGTGCTGCTGTTAAATACAAGGGTTCCCTGGATTGCGCCGTATCGATTATTAGAGACGAGGGGCCTATGTCTCTGATGCGCGGTGCGGGAGCTAACATCCTTCGTGGAGTGGCGGGGGCTGGTGTACTAGCTGGCTTTGACAAGTTCAAACAGCTTTACGTCTCATACCGACTTGGGAAACCGGTGGCATGACTGTACTGCAAGGAATCTCACTACTAGAGTAGATTGCCTTGTCGGCCATTGTTGCTAGAATCTTGTAATATAGCCTTTCGGCACTGTTATCACAGTTTTGTACTCATGAGATTCGTTGAATGTAGTAGTAGACTAGTGTCGACTATTTTCGTCTTAATGGGTCTGGTTTTATCGGTCCTCTAGGCGCTTCATCAATCTTGCGGGTATTACAGGTAAGGGCGGCTTCCCATTCGACGTAGGCGAATGCGGTCGATGCGGGGCTGCCTTGATTGTAGATGGAATTTAAGGCTGTGGTGCGGTGGCTTAGTTGTCCGTCTGTCACAGGTCGTGGTAGACGGTGACGGGTTGGTCCCTGTCGTGATTTTGGGCCTCGCCATCATGCTTTTGGAATTGAGACGGTCGGTTAGGGCTGCGGTCTAGGAACTCTCACTCTTAGTCGCGATCGCCTCTGCTTGTCTTACCGCAGTAGTCTTATTTCATTTGAATCACGATCGTGCGATTGTTTGTTGCTAAGTAAAGGTAAGTGAGGTGTTCACAGAGTGCTGAGAGCAAAGGTGGGGTTGGAATGGGGTCAAGGTATTATGTTCTTCCTTCCCACGCCATCAACAATGGGAAAGAAAGGGCCTACAGTCATTTTGAACACCATAACTTAGTCCTACTATCGAACGGCGGAGTGGGTACCTAAGACTAATTTCAGCATCAAAACACGGTTTGGATGAATAATGAAGACTTTTAAAGATTTGTCATAGAGTCCCTTACTCCTCCTCAGTGGTGCTAAAGATGGCGACCTCTAGTTCCTTGAGGAATTGAGGAAAGCATTAATACTGAGCCTGCAGTTTTGATGGGAATGCACCGACTACATTCTATTCATCCCATTGAGGGAACCTCATCTTCTACCTATTTAGTAGGCAGTCAATCTTTACTCCCAGGTAGGCTTTAAACGTGCTGCAGATTTTTATATACATTCATCGGTTTTTTGTATCTATCCATCATTTCAATCCACCATTCCATATGGTAAAATGGGGATGGACAAAATAAATATGTCACGAAGTTGTTCGGCGTTATTGATAAAAGTAATTCAGACGTGTTGCAAAAAAGTTACTCAACCGAAAGGGTGCTTCAACTGCTCTACTTTTATGGTCAGGAGACTCATTGCATACAGCCCCTTTAATTTATGTATTCTATGTATCGGCCTGAGTTCTATCATGTTTTCAAGACCTCAGCATCGATGCCTTATTTACCATTCGAGATGGGTAAATTTAAAGTGCGGTGATTGTTGTCGTGCCGCGATTGCTATTCTCATTTTTGGGCTAATTTAAGCTACCTTGGTTTCAGCATGAATCCCCTAACTCCTCGAAACAACGATCACGAAGTCAGTAGGTTGTGTGTTGGTGTTAACTCGATGAATTGTGAAATATTTAGAAACAGTGTTAACTCAGTATGCTTAGCTACTTTTGCAGAATAGTTCATGAGAGCGGAGTGCTTGTAATTCACAATTCAGGCTATATTTTGTGTGCAGGAGGTCTTGAAAGACTAACGCATCAATATTGAGTATAAAGAGTTCAGAATCCGAAGATAATTAAAGCACAACTAAAAGTAAAGTTGAATGGTCGAATTTGTAAATAGACTTATGTTGATTTCAGAAACATGGTGCTTAAATGGAAAATGAGACCTAGAAACACAACTAACAGCTTTGGTGACCATCTAAAGAGAAAATTATCACGTCGTCATTTGACATGCTGAGGCCAACCTCCAGGCTGCGATTTCAGGAGAGACTGAACCGAGCTAGCGATCAAAACCAAGGCAGGAGATCACACAACGCAATTGAACACATTGCTGTGTTTGTTGTGCTCAAAAGCTCCGAGCGTGATTAAGAGGCGACAGGCAGAAACAGCGTTTTATACACATGGATCAAGCCAAATTGTTACACCCATAAGCAATGCTACCAGTTGCCAAGACAATCCAGATTTCAACTCCAAGGCTCACGCCGATTAATCCAGAGGTGTGACAGCAGTTAAATTTGTTAAGAGTCATACAATCCAAACCCATCTTTCAACTTCATTATGCATATATTAGTTTCCATCATCCGTTTAGCAACTGGATGCGTTCTACGCCAGCGCCTAATCTCCCTATTCTAGGCTACCTGATTTCTATCCTCTGCTGTATCCAGTACGCATGAAGACACTCACCTCCTACGTCAACCCTAATTTGCCAAAAACTAGCACGACAAAATGTGCCTAAGTTTATCACTGCCTTCTACCTCCTAGGGGTGTATGCAATCAGAGCTCTATTGAATTTCAGCTATTCGCTAACGTTCCCGTGGTTTAAAGCACCCTTCGATGCATGGAGGAGTGAAGACAGGACTTCCGGTCCGGCATGCGTACAGATACAGTGACCAAGTGTGTGCCACCTATTTGCGCATGTGCAGAATCGTCGCTGCGCGGAGGCGTTGACTGATCGATTCATCAACCCCCTGTTTCCGTGCTGCTGCCTCGATAGAAGTACGTGCAAGAATCCGTATGTTGAAACCACTGTTCATAGTTAAAGTGGTTAGATTTGCTCGATTCTATTAGGAGATTGATAATAATCCACGCTAAAGATTAAAGGCAAACCGATTTTACTACTTCTTATAGTAAGATTAACGTGAAACACAGATCGCAATATTCTCAAGAGAGCATTTGAAGCTATCGTTCAGAAGACGACAAAATTATAAAACCAAGGTATTAAAGGTTCCTGCATTTGCAGTCATTATCACTGAAACACAAATGTATTATCTGAATATAGTTGGTTTGGAATTATACACGCTATGCGTGAACAACTTTTGTATAAAAATGTTTAAATGCCAATAAAATAATGTAAATAGGCCCAATTGATGGGTCCAAATCGAGACACAGTCTGGCACGTAACTGAGAGTGATATTGAAACACTTACTGCTAAAACATCACATTTTATCCATTTAGCAGGGATAAGTCCCACTAAATTGGCGTAAGGTAGAGCTAAATTGAAGTATTGAGTCGTGTAATATGGGAAACTCGAGCAAAAGAGTAGTCTTGACTAAAAACCTGTTGATCTTGAGTCAAGCACTACGATAAGGTGGGCTTCTATACACAAATCCACTAGATTATACCGATCGTAGATTCAGACTACAAATGAGATGTTTGGTTGTGCACGTCTCACTTCGGTCCCGCAGTTGCATCAAGGAGGTAAACGTAGCTGTAAGAAGCTAAGCGGCGAGCAAAAACGTAGTCGTTCAATACCTCGACCACATCTCTGCTTGGCTCGAGATCGTACTTCGGTCTTTGATATTTACATAGGGGCAACTGTCTTGGTTTAGCGCAATATCAGAAAAGTTGGATTTCCACAAGTGCAGAAGGCCAAGCACGCATATAAACAATCAGCTTAAGTACTTCAAGAAGAGCCAATCTCATTTTATATGCAAGTAAACACAATGGTAAGTAATCCTCGGATTTTAGCTGTATAATTGCTAACCTATATTTTTCATATATACAGCAGCAAAAAGCTATAATTCATTATAACTTTGTGTCATTATACAATTTTGGACTTGCTTTGTCCAAGTTTTATGCTTGATTATTTAAACGAGACTTTCTTTAAAGCGTGCTGGTTTTGTTTAAGTGCATCCATGTTGCTTGCCTTGTCGATGCGACGACGTTTCTTCAAAAGCCAAGGACGGTGAGGCTCTTCGTTGCCCTTTCGTTGCTTAAGGCGATGGATCCTCAAATTATTGACGACATTGCGACTTCTGTTTCAAAATGGCGTATGTACCCTCACTTTGACGTCGCCCACTACATACTTATGAGTACTGCTGTAAGAGAAGATATCCCTCAATCTGGTAGGCAAATTTTGCATTGTTGCTTCTCGTAAGCGCGATTAGGAGAGTTTCGTGGTCATATTCAGCTATTTATACGGAACTTTTAAGGATATAAGAAAATTGATGGTATTTTAAGTAAATGCTATTATTTACACCTACATTTCCGTGGTTGATTATCAACTGTATTGTGATATTTGATGTTGGATGCATTACAAAATGAGAAGATCAAAAATTCTATTTTTGCGATGAACTGTACTTATTGTTTTGTTCCTCAACCCATGGTAGGTTCTGGTGCTTTTTCTCGAAAGCATCCGTTTGCCTGTTGGTTTGCAACCATGCTTATGTGCTTCGGCGGTGCTATTCTCGGCAACTTCATCTTAGGAGAGCCGGTATTTGCCTGTTTCGATGATCACCGCGCTGTACTCACTGCCACGGCTGTCTGGTAGACCTCATTTCCTCCTTCCTTTACTCCTGACCCTCCTCTCCCCTAGGTACTTAATCAACTACTCACCTTTTGACGTGATCTACAAAATTTATTCATTTTTTTCGATCCGCCTACTCATCTGTGCCATGAAGGAGGTTCAACGAGCAAAGAAAATCTCTCTCGGTGTCTCTCATGCCTACCATGACTACCCACACAGTGCTGTCACCTGCATTCTGGTCGGCCTCCTCAAAGGTATGCATAACTCAACCTTTCTCAAGGAGTGAGCCACCTTTTAGGTACTGGTAGTTCATTCATGCGAAGTATTGCTGCTCTCGCCACTGGTGTATGGAATCCTAAATCCGTTGAATTCCTAGTCTGCTCGTAGTAAGTAATTTATACCCTCTCCCACCTCTTTTCAAGTACTTTCCCTTTCCCCATTCCTGTGTCTCAGACAAAGAGTGACAAGGAACCTAGCCTAGTGCACTTATTTATTATCCAGTGTTTCGATCTTCGCTGTTCTCATTGCTCACGCCTGATTGATGCGTGGCTTTGTATCGGTTCCTTAGTATTTTATGCGTCTAATTCCTGTGAGTATTCTCTCTACTGAGCCAAATGAGTTGCTATGTGCCCAGGTCACTAAATATTCGATGATGGCATGACTAAATGGGCTAAGATTGGGCGATCTGTATGCATACTATTCCCAAGGGAAGTCTATCATCTGGAAGAGTTTGCAAATTGCAATGTTGGTAAGCTTTTTGCGCCTGCATACTGTACCGTTATGAGAGGTCGCTTTATTTGGCATTCAGTGTATCTAGCACTATAGTTCCATCATCCAACTGGAGTTGCAAAAGATATTGCCGTAATTATGCGACTTTCAATGGGTCCTTCGTTGATCTACGAAGTCCTATAGGGAGGTGTTACATTTAGAGTCATTTTTTTGAACAAAATATACGAGGTGTTTTGATGACTTGAGAGTCGTGCGCATGTGTGCGTTTACGAGTGCGTCGGCTGAAAAAAAACAACCTCTACTTGTGCAATTCGACAGGTACGGGTTATTTGGAAATGAAGATATTCGCCAGACTCGTACGTGGTGTCTGGCTACCTGCGTCGACCGAGTTTCTTCATCCTAGTTTGTAAGTAGTTCTTTCCTCTGCTATCACTATGGCATTCAGACCGTGCGATGCCATGGAAGCATGTGTTATTTCCACTCTCTCGATGGTGCTAGATTGATCTACTTACTCTGCGTTCCTTCTGTAAATAGTGTTCGCACCGTAGGTAGGAGTTTACATCGCGGGTCGCATGAAAAGCTCTCCTATATAGCTTGTAGTATCATTTGTTCGTTAGGGCATGCTATTATTTTACTCCTTCCTACATTGCCTTTTTGTAACTACTTATGGTTCCTTCCTTATTATTTCCCCAAGCACGACCAAGATCTCGCTCCTGTCTGCGATCGTCTTCTACTGTGATCTCTTGGACTTGATCCCTCTTTCTCGACACCAGCTCTTCCTCGCTGTGGTTGGAGTTCTTGTCTATATGCGGTAATTGTTAGTTATCATATGCTTCAAATCCCTTTCTGCGCAGTTGGCACTGCTAGACAACCATCTGGTCTTATAGTTTTATCATGGTAACTCTTGAGTGAATGCTGTAAAATACACAAACGCAGACCGGTGCATCTGCCTTGTGGGGTTCTACGAATCTTACCCTTGTCATTTCAGGGTTGCTATGCTCTGTCTTGGTCTAAAAGATCCTTTCGCTCCGATCCAAAACCTCGTTTGCACAATCTTCTTTGGCGGTGTTGTTGATGCCTTAAAAGCCGCAGTGACCCGTCGTAAGAGCGGTGACGCATCGGAGGCAGTAGCAAACACTCCGAATGTTATTACACCCAATACGGGCGTAGGAGCTGCCCAAGATGGGTATAGTGGATCATCTGGAAGTGGGGGCGTGAAAGAAAGCTCTGGAGCGACAATGCTTCGTCGGAACAACCCTCCGAACGCCCCTCACAGTGCGGATAAGAAGAGAGACTGAAGGAATCGCTCCCTTTTCTTTTCCTACTCTATTCTGCCCCAAATCTCATCATCTTTCTTTCCCGTGTGCTTCAAAAGCAAGGAGAGAAGGGTTGAAGACGTATGTTCGGCTTTCTCTCTATGTATTTGCGATTGTGCGTACTTATGTATGTTTTTACATGCATGAGTGCCTGTGAGAAACGCTTTTGTGCTCTCACTCTTTCGTTCAACAAATAGCTTTCGTGTTTTGAGAAGTGTACATCTGTTTTTTTTGTCACTTTAGCTCAGATTCTTAGTCTCAATCAGAGTAGTCATCTTCGCCCCATGTATCGCTTATGTGGTTTTCATTATCCAAATTTAATTTCGTTTCTCCTGTCATTTATCGGTGTGCGTGTGCTTGGAGGCCAATTAAAAAGGGCTTGGTTAACATCATCCTCTTGTTGTAGTCTTGAAGTTTCCCTTCCTTCCCGACACCTTCTCGCTAGTTTGGCTTTCAAATTCATCGATTAATCTCTTGCTTTGGAAGACATATATTTGTAAGTGCTATTATACCGAGGATGCGGGGCCCAGTGAAACGATGTGGCTCGAAAATATCCTTGTGTTGCCAACGTCAAGTCACAAGATGGGCGTGCGTGATGCTGCCCTCTTGCGCGGCTCGTCAGCTGCAAGCGGTCTGACCAATGGCGGAGCGGCATCGATTCGTCGATTGCGGATGTATGTGGGATCTCCCAAAACTGGTGTCCACTGTGCATCCCGTCAACTTGATAGTACAATTGTCCCTCTCCCAACCGTCTTGGCAGTCCAAACACAAGGCACAATGCCGATCGCTATCAATGGGGCTATTTCCAAGGGCTGCGATTGGGAGCTTTTATTTGTTGTGAAAGATATAGATACAAAACAAAATGCAGTGGCAAAGGGTTACTCATGAGTCCATCGATTATGCTGCAGTGTCAGTAGGAGGATGACCAGGATGAGTCGAGGGCTGGGCACTTTAAAGACGATACCGTTGTAATCCGGGCAGTAGGGACATTGGAAAGATCCGCAGACGCTGCAAATTGTGTTGGTGTAGAGGGAGATCACTTCGTACATGCTGTTGTTGTACCGACCTGTGGCAAAGAAAGTGATATTGATTTCAGCATTCATGCCACTTCTTTAGAGCGTCATTGTGAGACAGACTTCATTCCAAAATGGTTGCAAATTTCTTTCCATACTACATGTCTGGATAGTTTCTTTGTCAAAGGAGTTACCATGTGCTCCTGACTGGTAAATCACTAATGCAGGTTCGTGGTCTTTGTAAATCACACAGCATTAGGTTTTGTTACATCGAATAAGAAAAACTTGAAACTCACCTGGTTCATAGTATTCGTACGCGAGGCATATTTGGTGATCAGTCATGTTAGAGACCGGATAAAAACGCGAGGCATTGAATTCAACGCAAGTTCTTTCTGTTGTTAGCTAATAAAGGTATTTAAACAATTGAATTCAGAATCTTGCCACAACTTTATATTTATGGTTGCATACTTCCCATCCAACATGGGAGTTCTGTCTTGAAGAAAATAATGGGTGCACGGTAAACACATTTATCGCAAACGAATTTTAAGGTCCTTCATGATCGCATAGACTGAAATTGATTCGACTCTCACCATCACACCATCTTCAGCCATAGAAAAAAAACAGGAACTGCAATGAACCCGGTTGGAGAACCAGGAAAATAACTTTCATAGATTGGCAGTGTAAATCTAACGTTAGCTTAGACCCTTTCGACATGAAGGGTATGCTTAGCAAGAGCCAAAGCTTATTTCGTGGTTCCTCTTTTTTCCTCAAAACGCATACCCGTGCATATGTTGAAACGGGAAGTTGTATGGCGCTTATTTTGCCAACTGCAATGTCGGAAGCACTTAATCCGCAATAAATAATCTTGACCTCGGCATGACCTTGGAAAAGAAGTGACCAAGTGATTTGATCCGTCGTGCAATCTTATTTTTTTCTCAGCATAAACTAAAATGCGATTCATGACCTCGTGTAAACTTAAAAAGTTACAGAGGTGACCTGTTGATAATGCTGTCCCGGTTTGGAGGACGGAGACGCTTTGGTGCTCTGCTAGTGTACCTTTGCAAGGGAGCCTTACTCTATGCTTAAAATGCCTAAACTGAGCATTTTGGCTTCATCTGTCTTCAGGGAGGTCTCTTGATGCTGGGTGAGGAGCTTTAGTGAGGCAATAATTGAAGCCTTTACCGTGGCCAGGAAAATCGGTGACTAACAACTTCTGACAGAAGGATTGAAAACGATCTTTTCTGCAGGAAAATGAGTTACAACTGGGAAATTTCGTCGAAAATAGGCCTAACAAATTTGTCATTTATTTTACTACACAGTACCCTCCCTAACTCTTCCCTCGATGCATGAAGGCCAAAAAGGCATCAAAGAGAACACCGAAGAAAAAGAAAGTGGTGAAGTTATATTACTACGGAACCCTCTTAAATCCGGTCCTGTTACATAGTCGCATTGAGGTCGGCGCTCCCCCACCTAGTGATGAACATGCGTGATGGGCATCGAAGTTCCCATCCCCTACTACGTTCGCTGTAAAGGCAAGTCATATTAACACGATTCGCCCTAAGATCAACCCACACGCACCTTTGTAGTGCCTTTGTGGTCGCGTCTTATCGAACGAACGAAGTGGGACGCATTCGACCAATGGCACGATGATATCGCTGGTCTGCAAACGGCCATTGGATGGAGGCATCATTTAATCCACAACAAGACTCACCTTATCAAAGAAGAAATGCACAAAGTGGGGACGAAAACGGGCGTACTTCAACCGAGGCACCTGACCACTTCGCACGTAGTCCCGAAGCTCATCGTTCATAACCACGTAGCCTGTGGGTACACGCACCTCAAACACCGCCATGCCGCTCTCATTGGCTGGTTCCAACGGCTGAAAGTAAAAGGTACTCCCTAATCTTTAACGATTTAGAAAAAGACATGCAACTGATCGAAGTCTTCCCCCATAGTAAATATTGAATCAAACGGAAATTCGAATGAATGGAACATGCGTGAAAGGTTTATATTTTAAACAGCTTGGTCAACGGGAATCTCTCTAGGGAGCCAAATGCGACATTCACTGACTTATGCGCTTACGTGGTTTCCTGTCCAACTCCCGCAGACAGACATGCGCATGTGGGAGTTATTTCGGCCCCAAAAGGTGGGCGTGCATTCGAGATCGAAACTCGTGTAGAATTCAAGAAGGTTCTCTGGATTGAGGGGTTCACGTTGAATGTCAGGAAACTCCACGTTGTAGCTAACGTCCAACTGAAGAGTAACAAGTCCTGTGCCTTCTACCTCCAGTGTTACATCGCCCCACACAGATCGCGGTGGATACTACAGTTCAAAAAGTCTTTTCCACATCAATTGCCAGTGCCAGTAGAGCAAGTATGTTAAGCGATTGACGTTATATGCTCCAATGGAAGTGTTAAGCGTCGAGAAAAATGCGTCAAACTAAGGGTTAGCAAGGGAGCGTTTACCACAGTTCTTGAGAGCGTGGAGTAGTTGTCAGGCACGATCCATATTTGCGGCTCCCATTGTTTGAGGGAGCTGATCTTTTGGCTCACAGACATTTTGTAGAGAGCACGATTCTTATCCGCCAGAGCGAATTTGCGCAGTGCTTGAAGAGCCACTAGCGAATCCTGCAAACAACACGCACATTCAGGTGGGGCAGTAGAAATATACGCAGGGAAGAGAGAAGAACAGAAAGCACAGAACATACAAAGGTGCTGGTAAAGCCGGAGACATGGTTGCGTTGGCTGGTTAGCCAGTTAACCATGTCGTGGGCTTCGTGGACTGCAGGGCTCCAGGCATTGGTCTCAAGTTTGATAAGAAAGACGAGAGCTGAGCACGCCACCGCGTAGCCGTCATTGGGCCACTCGCCCCTCGGATTTTCAATTCGTCTGCCCGCTTGATCAATTTCATAGATGGGTGGAGGAATCGGGTAATTGGAGTAGTACACATGATCCCCTCTTAGTTGACGGGCGTGGATCTGATTCATTGCTCTACATGGGAAAAATGCATCACTTTCTTTCACTGAATAACCCGTCGATGTAATGCTTTTTGCCAATTTAACACATTAATAGAGAGTGATTTTTCTATGTGAAGACAAAGCGATTCAAAATGCATCATTCGTGTCACCGGTAGGTAAGATCTGATCACAAAGGCCACCTACCCTGTTCCCAACTTCCGGAGTGGAAAAAAGTAGCAGCATAGCTTAACAGAGTTGAAATCATCCAAAAGATGCGGATGTGAACGATCTCCAAAAGAATTCCTACAAATATCGTCGACCTCCGGGAATTAACCCCAGCTGCGTGGTAACAAGATCAAATTTAAATTGTGACTTGTTGAAATGAGATTAGTTGGGGAGGAATCATATAAATAAACATCGTGGCAATGGAAATAGGTTCAAAATATCTTCTCCGGAGAGCTTTGCTCGACTTTTACTTCATTTTTGGGTCATGGCTTTTTGCACCTAGGGCTGGATATCTCTGACCGTCAGCACATCTTCCCACTCTCACCCTTTTCTGTCAAATGGCATTTCCTTTGAATGAACGTTAGAGGCACTGGCGGCAGACATACTTCGTTGGGATGGCTTACGTGGAGGAAGAACAAGGCGATCGCCGGTGCCTACACTCATTCACTATTCTGCTAATGTCTGTTAATCTGCATTCTAAGCCATGTCGGTGGCTTCAACTCCTTCTGTATGTTAAATATGTCCATTCGGTCCAAGCATTGCCTGCTTTTGGATTGAGGAACGTCGCAGGGCACTACGATGCACCCAGACCATGAATGAGTTGCGCGTCACATTGAAAGAAGCGCACATAACATCAATACGAAAATGTAAGCCCAAAAATTGGCATACGAGTAAAGAAACTGGCATCTAAAACATAACCATTAGAGTTCGACCACAACTTTTTCATTGCAACTGAAGATATACCAACTAAGATGAGCTACATGCCTGTGAAGTTGATGTCCATGTGCTGAGGGAGTGGACAAAAAGGCAATAACAGAAATTCTTCGTTTGACGCGCATTTTGACACAAAATGAGCAAGCCATTAAGCGGATTAGTAGACGAGACGCATGAGGCAAGGAACATACTGAGTGAGTTCGTTTTGAGCATTGGCTCCTGCAGCGACTTGAAGGGCATACGTGGCAATGATTTTTGCAAAGAGGTCATCCACATTGAGGACGTGGTGCCGAATGAATCCAACAGCCAGACGCACCACACGGGAGGCGAGCTCGGCGGCGCGTCCGCTGGGGGGTGGTGTGCCAGCGCCCCGCAGACTAACCACCACCATTGCTGCAGTGGGCAGACGACGGTGAGCTTCACGTTCTATGGGATTTGGCCATCGTGTTTCGTTCACTGGAGGGATAAAGCGACGGTCCACTATAACCACACCCTCGCCCTCCACTGCCCAACTTCCCACTAGCATGGGATCCTCTCCTGATGTCTGATTGACTTGCGTCTCCATGAGGAAGGTTATAGAGCGCACAAATGTCTCATCCTCCACAAAAATCCACCGCTCCCACTCTGTCAGTCGTGCCAGTAGCATATTCCATATTGCAAATGCTGTTGGAAGGGCATGCGGTCTGGTGGCAGTCCAAAATGCACAGAAATGTCAGTTTTTATCATACAGCAGACTAAGCTTTACTTTGTATCCTCAAAATTTGGGTTAAATTAGCAGAAAATCTACTAAAACTTAAGAGACCATGGAGAATTACCCTCAGGTATTAGTGAAGGTGAAATAAACCACCACAGCTAGAAGCATTCACTGGCCGCTTCAGCATTTAATGCCCTAAAGCCACCAGTATGACCCCGGGGGCATTCAGTGGAATTGTGGATGCCTAAACCAGCGAAGGAAACAGGTCATATCGTTGTGAATTCCAACTCAGTTGAGACAAACGGAATATCACATGTACTTGGAGTCGTACCGAAAGAGATAATCAGAATATCGTTGAAAAATTGTACAACTAACCGATCGAGGTGGTCTCGAAAGTTGCAGAAAGCACCAGTAACGTTGTCAAAGTAGGTGAAACCACGCTGCAAGACGACAGAGCAGTAGTTGACTCCAGCGAGCATCACGTCGTTGGGCAGGTAGCCGGCGCCACGCAGATAGAAAAGCAGTTGCAGATTGAAGCCCAACTCGAAAAACACGTTCTCCGCCGCCCCGTAGGATAGCCGTAGAACATTTTCCGTGTCTGCATACTCAAAGTTACGGCTGAGGGTGGGTCCAATCACGTCACCTTTAAGCACAACGAAGATAACTTCGATCTGTGTTTGAGAGAAGAAGTCGCTCAAATGTCCGACAGTAAGGGAAGCTACTTTTAATTTACCTTCTAAAACTAGTTAATTTTTAGGATCTTGAAACAGTACAATGCATTGACTGTGCAAGTCACTGGAATCTATAAGTAAGAAGGAGGTGACAAATTTGAGGTGAGATGTTCGCTTCAGAAGCAGCTTACCCGTGACGCTAACCACTCCCTTCTGGGAGCCAGGAATGAAGCGATGCGCGCGCTGTTCTGGCACAGTAAACTTCTCGGGCACGATGACTCGAAAGTTGTTGACATAGAGTTGACTAGAGCTGGTGAGATCCATGAATCGAGAGGTGTGAAAGTAATTTGGAATGCCATTCATCTATACAAATCATTAAAAAGGAATTTTAATGCAAAAATCCTAAATAAAATCATTTTTTTCATACGCATTTCTAATTTGACTATCCAATCCCGTCTAGTTCGCATTCTGCAATCCAGTTCCTCCAGTTCCTCATTTGGATAGCGTTTGTTCCGTATTTGTCGACTTCTACATTTGTCGTCGACTTCACATCTTTGCATCACAGTTGCCCGTTCATTAAAGGCTCATAGGTCCTCAATGAACCCCAATTGTTCCGACTTCATCAAACCATCCAATCAATGTCTATTTTACCTTTCTAGACCAAAATAATAAGCATTTCGGGTTTAGTACCATAGTTGAGGTTCACTCGTCCATCCCCATATCATTCAAATCATCCCCCCACTCGTAACGAACTCACCAAATCGCTTTAAAGGCACCTATTACGGTTCTACGCATCCAGCATAGGTTCTTCACATTTGGAAGGAGAAAAGCTACCTAACAACGTGGTAGATGGTGGAGGCAGTGGATGCGTACCTGCACAAAGATGGATCGCGTCTCACAGTTGGCTCCGAGAAATGAGAAAGCGCATATAGTGAAGGTGTTGTTTCCCGTTTTACGAGGCAAAATAGGCAGGTAGACGTATTTTGACTCGCCAGCGTCCAGATACACCAACGTCTCTACAGTCTCATTCACTGAATAGGGCGGCGCCCAGGCTGTCGTCAGACCACCGTAGGGGACCCGGATCACTCCTATGTCCGGATTTGCATTCACTCGGACCAGTGCCTTAGAGTTGACACCGTTTGATTAGAGCAAATAGCAAAGGCATATGCAACAGTAATATTTCCTGCCCTAATTAACCTATTCTTCTTTTAGTTGAGTAGCTTGTAGTGGGAATATTTTGAGATTTGTACTTGATATTGGCTCGGTGTGCTGATTGACAGAAGATAATTGCCACGCCTCCATAAGGCAGTTCACCTCGTTATCAGGGAATAGAGAAAATAACAAAGGCGTGTGACTACTTCCAGGATCTCTTTATCAAAAAACTCTAAACTAGGTGGAATGAGGGAAGAGGAGGGGATTTTAGTGAGAATACCTCAAGGAAGTAAGTCCAGTAGTTGAAGAGACAGACACGGACACCAAACTGCTCGCCCCAAAAGCCGACCTCGGGAACCTCAAGAGTGAAGTAGAAGCGGCGTGCACCGTCAAAGCGCAAGGGAGTGCGGATGAGAGTGAGGCCCTCCGAGGCGTCCATTGCAAACGCGCCCACCACCCATCCTGCTTCCATCTTCGGAAGTGGGACGCGAAATTGAATCTGCCCATCTGGTCTGTCAGCAACATTACTAGCGTCATCACTAACTCCAGTCATCAACTGCACTTATATGCTTATCGCTCGCTAAAATTCATTTTCAAATGAACTCATACGGATAGAGGTAGTCCTCCGCCTGTTAATATCAGGATCCTTTGTCCAACTCATCAACGCATTTCTGACTGTTTACACAGTCACTCTAAAAAACAACCCAATTCTGTCAGGAATGATGAAGAGCTGACTTTTACCCCCAGTTAGGTATGAGAGCACGGACTACCCTACGCAAAATCCGTCAGACTTCAAATAGTATCTGAGCTTGACTATAGAACAGGCCAAAATGTGAAATTAGAGTGTACTTGACAGGGGTGCTGTGCCACATCCATGAGCAGTCTTCCCAGTTGCGGTACAGCATCTCGAAGGAGCCAAGCTGGCGGAGCTTTGGCGGTGGCATCGTGGTCGTTGTGCTGTTCTCCGGACAGCCGGTCTCGTCAGCCCAATTGACACACTGATTGATGCCATCACAACGCTCCGCTCGGGAATAGCACTCCCGTCCTGATGTCGCAAAGCAAGGCAGCGCACGCGCCGGATTCTCCGTCTCGTTACAAGTGTCTGACGTCAAAAAGTCCCACATAAGGATGAGATAAACCTGGTTTAAAGGGGATTTCCACTTCACACAAGCTTTTTCTAGTCGGACATGTTGTTTAAAACTAACTTTATAGTTAAACTTGTAACTCAACGCAGTAGACGAGATCTTGATCGTACATTTGTTTGGTATTCACTCACGATAGAAATTGGTTTTGGTGAAGTTAGCATCGGTGAACATAACCAGGCCGGACATCTGTACAGTGGTGTTGGTGTCGGCACCGTAGGTGGGCGAGGGCACATAGACGCGATCCACTTGACTCACGCTGTTGTACCACGTGAATTCATACGGCATCTGCGCATGCGCCTCGTACATGGACATCTCATCAACCACCTACAAATGAAAAGGACAAAAAGGAGTGACCAAACGCACAAATTCAAGGCAACTGCCAACTGTATCCCAACGTACATCTCTTTCCTGAATGAAGGAAGGACTGTCGTATCGAAATAAGTCAGCATGGAGCACATTCACAGCGAGATAGGAGCCAGGCTTGGCAAATCCTCGTATCTCTACGGTGTCTAAGTTCAAGTCTTTCCCTCGATTCACTTGAATTTGCACATTATTTATACGACTGTAGTTGGTGAAAAAGGTTAGGCTGTCCGCAAGTATCTCCCCATCGTTTTTAACACAAAATGCCACAATCCGACAAATTGGTGCCATCGTCTTGGAAATGGCAATTGAAAAGGACCGGAATGTGACCGCGCTGCGCATTGATATGCGATCGGAGGTGATGATGTTTCCGCCCGCTGTGACCTGCAGAAGGAAAAACACGTTTCTACCAGTTTGAAATACTCTGCAGACATTTGCTTATCCGTTATTTTGCGGAAATGCAGCATTTGCATGATGACCGCATTTGTTGCCTTAGAGTAGAGTAGATTGCTAAAATTTTTCAGCTTCTATGAAGCATTAAAGGTGTTGTATTTGCCAGACCCAAGTCAAGCAGCAATAATGCATACCAGGTAGTGGATAGTGTCCACAGGATAGTTCGTCTCCACATTCAATACCATATACTGACCGACCTAAAACGTTTACAAACAAGTTGTTTTTTTTGGATCTATGCATCACGCACATCCAAACATATTGTCCCATCAAGCGGGAATTTTGGAAATTTTGGACATAATCACAACCGTTTGTTGGCCTGATAAAAGAATACATGACTGAATGGAAGGAGTAGGTATCGAAAGTGATTAACAAGGGACCTACTTGTGGCTGTGGGGTGGTGGTGGTTAATTGCAGGTACGTACTGGAAGGAGATTGGAACTTGAACAGTCGCTGATAGGCGGTCGCAAGAACCACAGAATTCTCGTCTATAAATGACGCCTTAAATCACAAAGAATCACTTTTTGATAACCGCAACATAATATCTGCAAACGCAATTAATTTATGGTGATTACAAGCTCAATCAAGCCGTCTCTGGTTAGTTTATCGCTACTGGAAGGGTTCACAATGTGAGAAATGAATAGAAGGTGTGTAGAAAGAAAAGTGCAGCGAAAATACTTGTAGAAGGAGAGTGATGCACGTGTCGTCAGCAATGGGACGGAAGGTATACTGTATTAGCGCATCGTCTGGGATGGGTAGAAATACTCTCCTTAATTCTGACCCCTCTGCACACGAGATCGTTAATCGCACCCTTCGGTTACCTATGTAAAGTGGCTGCTGACCATCCGCAGTGAAGATCACCATCTACAACGTTTACATCAAAACACATAGAATCCAATTTGTACTCTAAATGGATGCTTTTATAAGGATCTCAGTGGAGTCGTTTTTAAATAACCTACATAGGCAGTAAAGTACATTCCTGGTTTGTAGGGTCGAACACCTCCACCGAGAAATTTAATGTTTGAATCAGCAGAGAAAATTTGGGTGTAGGCCCATCCTGATCGAGTGTCTCCCTCCCACCAATTCGTGACGGAAACATTGGCCCAAACATCCATGTTGACTAGTGAAGGTTCTGCTCCTCCCGCAGTTCCGGTGAGCTGCGATCGCAACTCGATGAAGGGTATTATAAAGCTGGCGTGACCATCCATCTTAGCAAAAATTATTTGCACTAATTTATAAGTATGTTACTACCACTAAATAAGTAGCAAAATGCTGTTTACTTGTGTTATTGTGCGCCTAGCAGTTCCGGCCGGTGGCCTGGTCCACATATCGGGCCCACGCTCACGCATTTCGATAACAACACTCGCATTTCCTCGAACATACTTTCCGCTGGTATAATTGGCCTGTATCAATCCAGTGAGGGCAAAGTCTTCGTCCGAGTATCGAGGAAGCATGGTCACATTCACATCCCATAGGGCAGCCCCTACAAACGTGGCAGCTAAGAAAAGTAAAGACAATCCCTACAATACTCGACCACCCTAAATGTCTTTTCTGCCGTATACTTTTCGTGGCGTGCTCGGATTGTCCAATTACCTTCGTTAACTTGGTCAGCAAGAGCAAAATCAAGTTCAATTATACCTATGAAGGATAACGTGATAACCAACGGAAGCTCTTACCTCCTATGTTTGTCATCGGATTGAGCCATCGTTTAAAAAGATTATTGGAAGAGTCGACCACCTCTACTGAAACAAGAGAGCCAAACCATGGCATTAAATCTGGCTGTACTGGTATAACTCGAAACCGTACGATCTGATTCTGATGGTAAATCGGTTTGCTTGTCTTTGATACACCGTAGACAATGAATGCGTTCCTTTACCTGAATCAAAAGGGATACTGTCTTGGGATAGAGCTGAATCCTAGTTCGGTTCTGGAAAAGAAGAGAGCTGTTGGTGGCTATGTACCCATCTAGATGCAACCAATACTCGCCCTGAGAAGCCTGATTGGGGACCTAAAATGTTTTAGCATTTTAATCAATCAATGAGAATTTAAAATTTTGCCATAATTGGACAAGAATATGGCTATTTTGATTAACAGTTATATGAAAAGAAAAAATGGTCGTTGTAAAAGTTCTTACTCTCATCTGAAGAATTCTTGTCCCGGTCGCCAAAAAAACTGACGAGACTGAAATCATTTCGAAGACGCCATTTTTAATAGCAAGACGCATTGTGATCCTTGGATAAATCATTCGTAAGATGGAGACGCTAATTTGGACATCTTCATCCGGCCTGATTTGCTGAGGTGCTAATATAATATATGAACTTAAGAAAAAATAGTGATGCATTGGGCGCTTACGGTATAGGCTCTAGCATGTAACCACCTGCCTGTTGAGATGCCACTGTGGAGGTTAGGAGCATGAGACCGGCACAAAAACTAAAAGTTGGAGTGTTGGTTAAACACACACATTGATAAAATAAAATTTCGCGTTAAACAGCAAAGCGTTTAAGCACAATGTCTTGCGCAAAAAAAAACATTAAGAGCTAGAAACTCATTCTTCCGTAAGATAAATAGTTGTCAATTACACATTTCTTAACATCATGAGAGTGTTTGTTCGGTAAAGTAGGAATCCGCAACTGAGTAATTTTTACAAAACCAATTTGGCCTATTTCCGAACGAAATAATAGTATCGGTTTGCAAACAGTAATCAAGCCAAAATTTTTGTCATTATTAATCATTCAATGTTGAATGTCAGTTGCAGTGCCGACGGATAAATCCAACCTCCCATCCAAAATATAATTTGCCAACTGTGCGTGAGAATAAAACTGAACCATGGTAGTGAAAATACTGCCTGCTACTAGCAAATCATATTTGTTGCCTGGCTACAAAGTCGTAAATCCACTATAAGTAAGCAGTTTTGAGTCAACGTAATGTTAAATCTAACCAAAAAATTGTTTCAAACATTAAAGTCGAAAGAGAGAATCAGATTTACCAAAATGTATGCATTTTACACCAAAGAAATTCTCATGTAACTTTTCATGCAACGGAAAGAAGATTTATAAAATCGGTTAAGAGAATAAATAACTGTTCAATGATACAAACAAAAGGGCGAGCTCGCTAGATGGGTGTGAATTCGATGAAAATATAGTAAATTAAGTCATAAATTAAGCTAAGTAAGTAAGCGTTATTAATATATTTCCAAGAAGTATGTTACAAATCCGAAATAAATGACCTAAATATTGTTACATAGTGCAAGTCTATAAGTTCCATTGTATGATAAGCACCATTTTGTGTGTGTATCAAACCTACAGCAACTAGGGTGCGTACCGCTAAAATCCAAGAAAGACATTGTAAGAGAGGGTTGGTTGCAAATGATTCATTTGGCATTTGTTACAGGGAGAATGGGGATCGGGATGGAGATGAGCCTCTCTCCTATAAAAGTCCAGTGCTGACCACTGAGGTTCCAACGAGTGGCTGCCCTTTATTTGATAACGTATAACTTCGTCTTCGTAATCTACTGGGGGTGAACCCGTATATAGTTTAATCTTCTTGTGATGTACTGTATGAGGCCAAGTAGCGATCTCTGCATTCCTAATGAGACAATTGTGGGCGACAGGCCTTTGATTATCCGGTAGAAATCCTTGCTTCAGGGGTGGTAGAATTTCCGATGGGTTCCTGGTGGGGGAATCGGTCTATACTATTGCACCAAATCTCCCTCAAACACTTTTCTGAGGTTCTCCTTTAGTCGCAAGAGATACTGAGGCGCATTATCCCCTGCCGATTTCTTACGAGGAATCGAAATGTTGTAAAGGACTCTCATTTCACGGCCCGTGAGCATATTTAATGGTGAGGCTCCACTCGAGGTGTGAGCAAGGGCTTGGTAGGCGAGGAAGGCCCATCCCAGGTATAGATACCAATCGACAAGAGTACGACTTTTCTCTCTACTTGCTCATTGCCCAGAGGGTGACTCGGCGTCGTACGCGTCTTATGGATTCCAAAGGCTTTGCACAGCTCTTTGAAGAGGCAACTATCAAGGTTCGCCTCTTGGTCGCTATGTACGGAATCAGGCACGCCATGCTGGCAGATCCAGCGATTGAAAAATGCGGTTGCTACTGTCTCAGCACCCTGCGCCTGTAATGGCTCGGCTTCTGCGACCTTGGTGAAATAGTCTACCATCACCAAAATATTACGGTCCTCCCTCGGAGTCGTGGGAAGCGGACCTATGATGTCTATGCCTACTTGCTCCTCTGGAAAGCCCGTGGACATCGGCTGTAGAGGGGCTACCACCGTGCGAGTTGAGTTCTTTAAGCTGGTACACGTGACGCATGCGCGACAAAAGTCGGAGACATCCGATGTCAACAAGGACCACCAATACCTCTTCCTTGCGGAGTCATGCATATTCCTGTCTCCCACATGGCAATTTGTTCATGCAATTCCAACAGCGATGACTGCACCAAGGAACCTTGTATTACGAGGCGTCTAGGACCTGCCACGTTATCGTCTTTGTACCATTTTACATCGTCTTCTAAAGAGAGTTTTTCCAAATTCGGCCATATTTGCTTGGCTCTCTTGCTCGCTGAACTCATCTCCTCAACTGCGGGCTTGTCTGAGGATGTCCTTAGTCTTTCATAAACTAAAGCTGTATCGGGATCGCAGCTATGGATGTTTCTCCAGTGATGAGAAGTAGGCTCGTTCAATAACAGCGCACCTACAGTGCCGTTATCCGTGGACGGTGATAAGGGTCTCCGCGACAGAGCGTCCGCATTGCCATGAGAGCTTCCTTTCCTATATCGCACCATAAAATCATATTACTGGAGCTCATCGTACCACCTTGCAACTAAGTGGTCGATTTCCTTCATCGTCTTCAACCATGTCAGCGCCTGATGGTCTGCCCTCACAACGAACTGCTTCCCTATCAAGCAGTCCTTAAAAGGCCTGACCATTGTATAAATAGCGAAAAGTTCCCGTTTCGTTGCACTCTTCTGTTCCATCTTTTTGCTTAGGCGTGAGCTGGCATACGCGACCACATTTTCTCTCCCGTGCTTGTCTTTCTAGGATAGGAATCCGCCCACCGCCTCATCGCTTGCGTCTGTATCCAGCACGAATGGAGGGGCCTCGGCATTAAAGTTTGGAAAGTCAAGATCGGTGCCGAGCAGAGAGCACGCTTCAACTCCTTAAACGCTTCTGTGTGTTCGTTTTCCCAACAAAACTCCTTTTTGCCTGTTCCTCTGTCCACTTGTATAGGGGACTTGCGATCTTGGCGAACCCTTTTACAAAATGCTGATAATAGTCAGCCAACCCAGGGAGGCTGCGAAGTTCCGTCTGATTTGTAGGTGTCGGCCAAGTCCTTACTTGTGCTGTCTTCCGTGACCGCCAACTCATCTGCAGAAATTGTGTGCCCCGGGAATGCGACGGACTTTTGGAGAAAACTGCTTTTTTTTTTTTGATTCAGCGTCAGACCTGCTTCCCGAAGGCGATCCAGTACCAATCAGAGGTTAGAGTTATGTTGTTTGATGTCTCTCCCGAAAGCGAGAATGTCTTCCAGATAAATAATGCAGTGCTCCTGGAATAGGCCACGCTACCCAGTGTAATAATTTGTTTATGTGACCACACGACGTTTGGTGGTCACTTTAGGATTTGTCTGGCTCTTGTACACGTGGGCTGGCCTTCGGGCCGTGCTCGGGTCCATTTGTCTCGTCGTCTTCAGAATACATGTATCCAGCTGTACTTACTGACATCTTATACCGGCCAGGAGGTCTTGGGACGCTACAGACACGATTTTTATTCTTGCTATGTACTCATTCGTTCTAGATTGGCCAATATAATAACGTTAAAAGTGGGATCAACCACGTTACATAAACAAGGCATTACAAATGTAATACTTTGTTGATTTTACTACCTGATGTCTGGAGGTTACCTGAGAATTCGTCTGGCCTTGTATGCGTAGGCTGGCCTACCAGCTAAGCTCAGGCTTAATTCCTTTGCTCTACCTGGAAAACATACATTCATCTCGACTCAAGGCCTTCTTCCACTCGATAGGGAGTCTCGGGACGCTACATTATGGCTTTAATTTGATAAAAAAGGTATATTCGGCTCTAATATACAAGAACGGGGTGTTCTTTGAGGGCTACATTGTAGCACATGATTCTCCTCTACTGTCTGTATTTGACAATTTCCAACATGTTGAAGAAGGCATCAAGTTTGGCTGAATGCATGTATTCTAGGGAAGAAGAGAATGTGCTTTGGCTTTACTCAAAGGTCAGCCAACGTGTACAAGTTCAAGTACCCATCAGAGAGCAGGCTTTTAGCATGAGCAAAGTTATGCAGTCCGCGGGCTACATGCATTCTAGGAGGATGAGGTGGCATTTGACCTTGACTGGTACACGTGTACAAGGGGAAGGCAAAAACCAAAGTAACTGTTAGGCATCAGGTGATCACATGAACAAAGAGTTGCCTTTAAGGCCATCATCTCGCTTTTTCTAAGTGAGCCTCTTCTCGGATTATGTCAAGGCTCTATGTCCTCCCTTTCTGTTTATACACAAGCATTCAGCGAAGTCTTACGTTTTCTATCGATAAATTAGAGATTGTGGAACGCTATGCACACTTTCACACCTCAAATACCATATTTACTGGTCTAAAGTCCTCAGTGGTTCTATGTGTCCCATTCACTCCAGAGATGTCTCTTTTCACAAATAAGGGCAATAATGTCGCAATACTTCAAAATCCCAAAGTACTACTAGAGGGTGAAATACATCTGCCTTTTGCATATTTTCTGACAATGATAAGGAATTTGATATTTTTTACCAAGGCCATGCTGTCAGCCCATCCAGTTAAGATGATGTGGCCACACAGATGAACTTAAACGAAACCAAAGTCAAATAAGCCGTTACAACTGGGACATAACTTGACACTTGATAAACAAGGACTTAACTCAGAACCCAACTCATTCAGAGGAACCACATGATTGACCATTTGCCGCAAATAAAAACTGAATGAATCCGACTACGCAGCCTCCTTCTTTTAAACCTGGTCCCTAGCGTCCCTTTGGCCAGCCTCCTTTATCAGCCATCTCAGCGTCGACCGTACGGAACGAAACGTTAAGCTACGAATCAACCATGTCTATCGGAAGACTCCAATACAGTTGAAGATACACTTTACCATCAACCTCTCCTGTATCAGATCCGAAGGTATGGTCTGTGTGCAAACTGTATTAGCAAGCGGACAAATGGGTCAGTCGTCATGGGTGCCCATAGCTACCGTGCCCTGATGGTCAAGTCTCACAGCAGAAACACAATCTCGAAGTAGTAAAGTGCCTACGCAATCCACCATAAAGCCAAACTGTGGTAAACTACAAAGGATGGTGTTCTAGTGCTTACAGACAATAGGCATACAAATTTTAGAGACCACATGGGTTATGTAGCCGGTCTGATCGAATGTTCAATGTGTTCCCTGCGGTCTCTTTATACCGATTTGGATGAACAGTGGTGATAATTTGATAAGTCTACACTCCGAAAAGAAAGGGAGCTGCTAATGACTGTGTGTGTTTTAGAGCTGATAAAGGATGCACAATATTGTTTACTCTGCGTAAAAACACTCCTTTTCCCACATCATTGTGTTTTCACAAAAAAGCGGCATTAAGTAGAGAAGTACTGTGCTTCCAGACAATAGTACGAATTCATTCCCAAAGGAAATGAGGTAAGCACATCAAATCTGATCAAAATGCTGCATATTTTGATTCTGTCCCACCTATATCTGCCATGTAGAACCCAACAGCAATAGCTTGCCGGAAAGAGAAGCCGTTTTGACCAGTCACCGCAGTACCAGTTGTTTGCTGGAAGGGGACTCACAAAAAAAAAACAAATATGACTGCCTCCATTTCAAAAAGAAAATACAGATCCGAATCAAGACTTGAAGAACTCCCACTTTTCGATCAAAAATGGTTAAAAGGGCATATCAAACATTGCCTTGTCTAAATTATCAATAGTCTTGAGTAACACGAATACCGAGTCATACTAGAGGAAATCCAATTCCTCTGCCAGTTTCACACCAACCGCTCCAGAGGGTTCAATACTGCAGGTTCAAATAAGATCCAGCGTTAATTAACTGAAGCCGCCCCAATAACAGCACGTCCGGTGAGAAATGGCACATAACCACGCACTGCGGCTATCACCATTGACGCCATCACGAGACGCCAGTAGCGGCACGGAGGAAGCACAAATTCATTGACTACATAGTTATCGAAGTCAGTTGTTCAGTTGTTTACGGGAAAACTTCGTGAAAAGAAAATATGAAGTTAGTTTACTGTCTTCCATTTGCGCTCAAATGCAGATGAACTTCAGAGCAGATTCCAACTCAAAAAAGTGAAAAGCCTACAGCGTTCTGCATTTAGGCAAACCATCTCATCAACACTCCAGCAAAGAATACGAAAAAGCGATAAAGAACAGTCTCGAGGGCTGGTAAATCTATCCTCAAGAAATAGGAAAGAGACTACGCAAGTATGATTGCTTAACGCAAGAGAAACGGAATGGAGCAGCAGTCAGCCGATGGTGCTGTCGTCAAAGTCGATCACGCAAAGCGCATCGTCAGAGTGGATGGAGAGTTCAACGGATGCACCGTTATCGAAAGGTAGTGCCAGCCATCCGTCAACGAAGAGATACGCATCATCCATGCGTGAGACCACTCGCAATCTAAAAGGAGTGACACGCCCACTTATGCACATGTTTGTGCTTTCTGTGGACTTCTTCCATCTCCCAGTTAGGGTGGCGGTAAGTGGGATCATTGTGCGCCTGAGATCCTTACATAAGCAAAAACTAGCCAATAGTGATTGTGAAGAAGGGCCTCTGGTTTTCAGCCAATATAATGGAGATGGTTTCGACTCCGCTTACTGGTAAAGTCTATAAATGCAGTGCTCATTGGTGAACCAAAGTTCTGAACGTGGCGAACATTGTAGGATGATGGGGAGAAATGACACGAGTGTCTCGATTCATTCTGTCAACATTCGAGATCTGCTATTCTGCCGCTATAACATCATGAGAAAGGCATTTCCAGATATTCAGCGCCCTGAGCAACTCTTAAAAAAGTTGACAAATTACGAAATCCCCTTACAATTTCCGGCAAATTTGTTGTACAGGGCCTACAAATATGTTTGTATTTTGGGAGACGAGCATCGACATCAAGCTCAGACTGAAATATGAGATTTCTGAGATCAGTATGTTTTGAATTCAGTGATTAAATGCAATCCCAGTATACAAGGAGAATAAGCTCACTTTTTTGCAAAACCACGAGGAGAACCAAATTTAAAGACATCTGAAAGGTACAAGAGGAGGGAATTAAGGGTGACCAGGAAGCAATGTGCTCAAAAGCCGCCAAAATTGCTGCACCTTCTCAAATGTCAATTCCCTACAAGGCAATTAATCTCATCGATAAAAAAGAGATTTCACAGACAGTTGGCAAATATATAGCAAAGTACTTAAGACGAGCCAAATAAAACACTTTCCACGGGAAACAACTAAATGATGAATGGGGGGTGGTGTCCCAGAATTAGCAGCTAAAAACGGGTAAGAGAGAAGTTGAAAAAGAGAGAACTTACGATTAGTGATTAGATCGCGAACTGAGTAAGCCATAAGGGTAGAATCGGAGGGGAAGACCAGATCACGATTGAAACGTTCAGCAACTTCAGCTGCTGCAGCGTTATCAGAATGAGAGGCAGATGCAAGATAAAGGAGACGTGAAACAAGGTGAACATCCACCTGGTGAAGGCTTCGGTACCATGAGGAGGAGCCAGTACCTGTGCACACCAGTAGACCGCTTGACTTCTGAGGTACTGCCATTTCTTCATCCACTGATATTTCATAACGGGAGACCCTGTTAAGCACGCATACATGCATAGGCACTTGTGAGGCTAATCATTCTATCACATCTGCCTCACTCGCATGTGAGTGCCCGCTGAGGAAACCAGCCTCTAGTCGTATACCCAACTCTACGTTGCCTTCATTCCATTCAACCAACAGAAAAGACTAACCTGGCGCTCAAACAAGCACTAATAAAGACGTCGTTTAACGCCCGCACAGGAAGAAGGTAGTCAGGGGAAAGGTTAGGGACTGCCGGTTCCCCTACACTATCTTCGTCAGAGAGATACGAATGCAATGCATGCGACTCAACAATGCGCGGAGTAATTGTATCTAGAGAAACCAGCTGAGTCGGTGACGTTGACACGAGAAGCCGGATCCGATGGCGAAAACGCCGACTAAAACGGCGCAGACAAGATTAAAACTATGGGTTGAAAGTTAATATATCGATAATAAAGATAGCAAAAACGACAAAAGTCGACTAGAAGAATAAATCAAGCATAGTATTTCGTGTAGACACCAGAAAACTCATCCATTAAGACCACATTAATCCAGTGCAACAAGAATCTTAGCATTAAGTGAAGTCAGACTATCAATGAAATGGATTGCATCCAAAGAAGCACTAACTTGAACTGTCCGTTCACTAGTCTATCCACAATTACCGGAATTTTCTTGTACCAATATCGAGGCAAGCAGAGACTGCCTTCTGAGCTAAATTTAGGACAAAAGTAAGCATTAAACGTGTAAACAAGTAACCAACTTTTAAACTCAAACTTAGATCCAAAGGAAAATAACCATAAACGTAGGACAAGCTTACTGTCAAATGAACTAGAAACAAGCCAAATAGCAATGTCAAATCGCTTCCAAACTGAAAATATGTGGAACCTACGATTGGGGATTGCTGTTTATTCCGATGATAGGCTTGTCCTTCTCGGTAATTCGGAGAGCAGTGCTTAGAAAGGTCCCATCACCACCAACGGATACCAAGAGATCCGCTGATTTCGCGTGCTCAAAGTCATAATTCTTCCAGTTTATGGCGTCTACTTGTATACCGTAGTTTCTTTTTTCCCAAATCATAAGTTTATGCATAATGAGTAGAAGCATTAGCTTAAGTGGGCCTTTTTAGTGTCCAATTTGCAATAAAAAACTTAATAACACTTCCATAGGTACACCGGTAAGAGAAAGCCACAGTTTTAAAGTACGCAAATAAGTCTACCAAATGCATATGCACAACCAAATCTACACAAATTGCATTATACGAGTATCTGCGAGCCGCTGGCACAGCCACAAACGCAACTTACGTGAAACATCGCATAAGTTCATCAATGATAGTGAGCTGATGTTCATGTCCGCCGGATAAATGCTTATTGAATTCGCTCTTCTTTGCAGTCTTAAAAATAATCAAGCTATTTTCCTTACATGTTCTCCATAAGGCAATGTTCTGCTGGAACAGGCGTCTGTTTCACGCCCAAGTCCTGTACTTTTACATACTATCAATACCCTCTTTAAGCTGTTTTCGCCGCTCGAACTCAGAAACAATCTACTTGATACTTTAAGTGAAAACCCAACCTCTCTTCCCAGAAAAGGGCGAAGAGTGCGCCCCCACATCGGTCACGCGAACAAATAGCGAGTCTTTGACCTTGAAATTGACTAGCTGAGCATGAAAACAATGGCTGCCTCTAAAATCTGTTATAAAAACATGCAACAATCCCTTGAGTCACACAACTAAACTTCATATATAAGGCATGTGTGAAAGATCTGCTAAATGGTTAGTACCTGCTCAATGTGGAATAATGCAGCAAATCTTCAAATAATTTAGCCATTAGTTCAAGAAGTGTAATACTGGTATAGGAAGAATCCATTGGAAGTATATATTGTTCTTGTTGCCTTTTTTAAGTCATACTCAAACTCAACAGTTGTATTTTTGAGAGCGTGCGGAAAGTTTACCGTGCAGCAGACTTCGCCATCGTTGACATGGAATATTAAGACCACTGAGCAATTTCACCGTTACCTATTCTTATCGTAGTACATGCTGTAGTGCCTGTGGCATTACTTTAGTAGAATCCATGTATTCTTAGAGGAGAAGGAAGGATGAGGTCTTGGTCTGGCCTGAAGGCTAGACTACGAGAACATAGGTCACTGGAATCCCAAAGTAACCGCCAAATATCAGGTGGTCATATAAAAAAAGTATTACACATGCTTTTTATGACTCTGGTCGTCAGTTAGACTTACGTCTATCGGAATTGCCTGCCTAACCTGCTGCCCTTGAGCCTCGGACTTTTAGGAGGGTTGGTTGCTGATGACTTATTTGGCCTCTCCCCTATAAAAGTCCACTTAAATAATCTAGTATATATTACGTCGATGAACTCAGGCTTTAATAATTTATAAGTATTACCACACAAAACAAATATCATTGGGGTGAATATGTCTATTCTTGGAGTAGAAGAAGAGAAATCGGTATAACGAGCTAGCTGCGCCGGTCAACAGCTATCATGAGACCCAGAAATGGTACTTAATCCACTTAAGAGCTCCAACTGGACCTGGAGTTACTATCGGTCTGTCAGTCTAATTCGAGGCAGCATACATCTGTTGATCATCATTTGCTTCCAGGACTACTCGTTGGAGGCCTGTTATGGAGAATTCCGACAAAACTTTTCCAAATAGTTCGCGACGGTGTTGCTTTAATTGTTGCTAGCTTGTTTGTGGGCCATGGGGATGATGTGAAGCCAAACGCAAACAGCATTTGCATCCTTTTTGTTCTGAAAAATTCAGAGATTCTGCCGCCTTGGTGTAAATGTTCCTCCTCCGCATCGTAGGTACATGCCACAAAAGGTGGATACTAAGATAGAAGTCGTTAAAAGTCGGGTTCACTTTCCACTGCCGCCAATGTAGTGTTCCGAGACTTCCCACCAGGTAGAAGAAAGCATTGAGTTGTGATAACTACATTTATTCTGGGAGTAAAAGAAGGGATTAAGCCTGAGGTTGGTCCGAAGACCTGATGATTATCAAAGTAAACATCAGACATCATGTGGTCACGTAAACAAAGAGAGGAATGTTAAACCTGCGTCTGCCATTCAAGTGCAAAGTCCTTTCGAAATATGTTGAACTGATCGCTTTAGAGAGATCGAAGCGCTTGTTTGATAATGGTTTTCTGTAGGTTAAGGCTTGAAGTTATAAGTGTTGCAAAGCAAGGGACATTTCCAGTGGTTTTAAACACTTCGATTCTTTAGCTCAGTAAGGAGGAGTGTGAGGATGTGATATCAGTCTACCCTTGGGCACACTCAAACTCACTAAATATCTTGCTTCTATCGTTTTCAACAATGCGAAATTCAAGTTGCTTAGTTGTGAAGTCTAAGCAAACCAAAGGAGAACGATCAAACCTTCTAATTGTGGGATTGTCCCAATATATTAACTCAAATTCTCAAACCAAATTGGCAAGTATGATAGGCACAACAAGTGGAAGGTAATGAAATAAGTGACCATCGAACCAAATGCAGTCAGTCTACAAAGGACGAATTTGGATACATCTACTTGGGAGTCGAAATTTCTATTTCTGTTGCATTTCTTCTCCTCAGTACACTGCAGCCTTTCATCTATTTGGGTTCTACCCAATTGGTGGAAGTGGGAGGGCATTATGCGTTGCCTTATGTAACAACCCTACGCAGCTACGGTAGACAACTTCATACCATAAATTTTCTGAGCATTTCGCCACTTTAACTGATGCACTTTCAACAAATCGAGGGCCTACGATTGACTGCCTCCCACTGGAGGGGGTCACAACTTCATCACATCCTCAGCATATGCGCTTCCTTTAGCACACTGGGATTCACCGCCTAATAGAAGAGAACACGATGGGTGTCCTTCACAGCTTGATTGGATTTCTGTCGGCGTCAGTATGGCGTCATGAGGCGTCCTCGAAGGGAAGGCGGGTACAGTATTGGAGAGTTATCAATGCATGCCATCTATCGTAGGTCTGAGGGGTGCTGGTGAAATGGTTTGGAGGTCACATCGCGGGAGAAACATACAAATAAAAAGCGCCTGATTATCCTCTATACCAAAATATAGTCTGATAAAAATCCATTGTTATAATATCACATCGGTGAAATAGAAAGCATTTACAATTTAGGCACTGTTTGAACGTAATGTTCTAAGCAAAGAAGAACAAGATAAAATGCCAAATTGGCTGCCATTCATACAGGCCTTCAAATTAACAAAGTATTAAGCTGGGCTTTTCACCAAACCCCTTTTGACCATGTGAAAAGGAAAGTGGACACTTGAGGTGCATTTTTTGCTAATGGACCTCGGCAACAAAGCACATGTCAGCAAGTAGGCCTTTTTGTCTGGACATTGACTACTTGGAAGGTTTTTCCTTGTTCACTGCAGACCAAAATATGTTCACTTTGAAGAGTTGTAGGAATGGTTGGTGAATGACTGGTTGAGTCCTCTCCACAGTCCGCTTTTCTATGAAATAATATTTTTGTAGGAGGAGGAGGAGGAGGAGGAGGACCTTGTCAGTTCCCCTCCCAGATTCGCCATTCTAGTGAATGTGAGATTTTGTGGTAAACGAACCGGTGAGTTGCCTTTATTCTCACAC